ATGAGCATCAGCCTTGGTGCTCTTTTCCTTCCCTAAAAATAACCTTGGCAGCAAACACCAGATTGAAGTGCCTTTGCACTGAGTGGCTTCTGCATCTCGGAGAGCTGGAGCTGTGCACAGCTGAGAACCCAGATAGCGCAGCAGCACCTTGCAGGACCCAGCCAACAAGCATCCACGAGCCTGCTGCCAACAGGCAGTGTCTGAACATCTCTGGCCCAGGAGTAAAGGATTTTGGCCTTGGATATTCCTCTATGTACAAACATAAGTGCTGTTTTCCAGCATCAATGAAGTAAACAGTAACCACATCACCCTCTCCAAGGGAGGAGAGCTCTGGCAGCTCCCTGTGTCACACAGGAACCACTTCTTCATGCTGAGAGAAGCAGATTTCAGCCCTGCTAACCTGCCTTGTCAAGCTGTAACAGGCAAGGGTTATCCTTCCCCACAGTCACTGTCGCCTCCCCTTGGTCAGTGTCTCAGAGGGGCTGTCAGGACCCCATGCTGGGGGACAGGCACTACCAGGAGGCAGTTTGGCTCACCCTGGTGTCTACCCCATCAGGTAAAAGAGGTGTACATGTAAATGTACAGCCATCACTGACAGGAGAAGTGTGTGAGGGTAACCAGCTCTTCATGGTGGGCACATCCTCCCTTTAGAACTAATAATCACTTTAATGCAGAGTCTGCAGAAACACTGATGAAAGTATCTGAGATTCTCTAAGAGCTGATATGTGAAAAGCAGCCTGGAAAAGCAGATCACTGTGCCTTAAATATGGAGCAATACTCAGATCTGAGCATCTTGAATCCCAGATGCCAGTGCACACATCTTTATATCACCACTCCACAAAGCCCCCAGGACTCCAGGCACTGGGTGCCTCTGCTTCCTTCTTGTTTGGGTGATCCACTATCTCAAAAGGGATAATGCAAAGCTACTGTTAAGAGTGAATGCCAGTGGAAGGCTACTGCGGAGCTGCCTTGGGTTGGACATCTCCAAGAAGACCTCCTTTAAAAAGGCATCTCTTAGAAGACCTCCTCCTCCACTGGAGGCAGCAGCGTGGTGGAATGGATGGACATTGGTCACGAGCGCAGCTCCCCAGTGGGTGAGCATGAGCCCACGAGAAAGGTGCAGCCCTGCTTTATGAAGTGGGTGCTCTGAGAACAGCTCTTAGATGAACTGAATTACAATTGTACCTCTCCTTCTCTGGCTTCCCCTTTGCCTCTCGCCTGTGATCTGTGAAAATACTTCTGCTTTATCTGAAGAAGAAGGATGAACTGAGCTGAAATTTAAGTGTTCTACTGAAATGGTGCCAAAAAATACTCATTTCCCATTTTGTCTGCAGCCCGACATCTGCTTTTCTTCAGCAGAAGTGCGTGTCCTCTCCCTGGGGTCCTCCTGCTTCCTCATCGGATCCAGCTCACAGAGAGATAGCAGAGCCCAGAGGCTCATCATGGTGGCTGCGATAGCCAGGGCTGCTCAGGAAGATAAAGAGCTGCAAGAAACACCAGGTCAGGTCAGAGATGTCCTCTCCATCCATTAGTGTCCTTCAGCTGGTACTAAGAATAGAGCAAAGGACCATAATGTGCTTGAGTTTCCTAACTGAGTTTGGGTCGTCTGACCTTCCCCTCATCCTGCTGCCTGTCCCAGACATAGAGCAGGGATCCTGTAAAACATATTTGACTGTTTAGTTGGATATTTCACATGTATTAGTATAGTACAACCCTGTTAGCAATGATGTCCTGCGACAGGTCACTCCAAGTAATTGCATCAGGGAGGATTGCTGGTATGTCTGGGAGGGTTTATATTTACAAAGGACTTCTGGCACTAGCTAACATAAGCTTATTGTAGGTTTTGCCTTCCTCACAGAAGAAAGGTTGATGCTTAAAGTTGAATTCTAGCTAATTTCTTCTGCAAGGACCATAATCATTTCATAGAATCATGGAATCACAGAATGGGTTGGGTTGAAGGGACCTTAAAGCTCATCCAGTTCCAACCCCCTGCCACGGGCAGGGATACCTTCCAACCCAAACCTTTCTATGATCCTATGATTCTCTAGCACAGGTTTGCTAACAAGTAGGACATAGGGAGGGTGGGATAAGGCAGTAGAGTTCAGAGACATGAAACCTTTGTTGCTTATATTGAGAGCTCTTGGGTCCTGTAAAAACAACATCAAACACCATTAACCTGACCTGATCAGTGGCAAATGGACTGGAATGAGCTATGGTTTAGAAGCTCAAATTCCCCACACAGCCACCCATCCCTGTGAGAGCTGCTTGCTCTGGCTCTGGAGAGCACTTCTGAGGCAAGTGTCCTGCCAGTTTCCATTGACAGTCCTCTGTCCCGCTGGGTGGAGTGTTTCTGGAGCGTGCAGACTGGATTCCTCTGGATCATACTGAGCAGGATGACTGCACGAGGTTCACACTTGATACTCTCCAGTGTCCAAAAGGTGTTCAGACCAAGAAACCAGAGGAAGCTGGTGTGAAACGTGTGTGGTGCACATACGAAGTCATCACCACCAGCCCTGTTGCTCCACAGAAGCTATGGACAGTTCTGTGCTGTTTGCCATGGCAAACAGAGGCAACAAGGGCTTGTCTCAGTCAAGAAACAGCCAATTTCAGGTAAAACCCAAGTCAGTGCCACAGCATTGACCAAACCCAGCTCTCCAGTGGTGCCCATTGTCCACCTCCCAGAAGACAGCAGGTCTCAGCCCCTGTGCATTGCTCAGCTCGTGTTTTATCCCTAACACTGGGAAAAGGGATTCCTTGAAGAGCCCTGCAGCACAGGCCCATGTTCCTCACCTCGTAAGGTGCTTCAGGAGCCTCACTGGGGCTGATGGAGATCTGCCTCCTGCAGGTCTCCATGTAGGGACTCTGCACTGCAGGGACCAGGAGATCAGTCCCAGGAGGGAGCTCTGCATTTCCCTGCTCCTTAACAGGTCATTAGGGAGGGAAAACTAGACAGTTTCTGACCCCTCCGTGCTGATGGCCCCAGACACAGCTGAAGTTTGTGTCACAAAACACGTTTGTGTCCGTTTCCTTCCGGTGTGTTTATTGGAGGAGATTTAAGAGTGATTGGGAAGTTCAAGAGGAAAGGAAGGGAAGGGAAGGGAAGGGAAGAAGATCATTAAGTATTCACCTTCTATTTACATAATTAATTCATGAGCAAAAGCTTTAACTGCAC